GTCTGTAAATAGAGGTCCACTGTTGCAATTTTGGAAAGAGGAGGTGTGTATTGCCAGGTATAACGTCCACGGTGACATAGTCTGTTTAATAGAAGTCCACTGTTGCAGGTTTGTAAAGAAGAGGTGTGTATTGCCAGGTCTAACGGTCACGGTGACATGGTCTGTAAATAGAGGTCCACTGTTGAAGGTTTGGAAAGAAGAGATGTGTACTGCCAGGTCTAACGTCCACGGTGACATAGTCTGTTGCCTCTTGACGTGGCCCACTACGGTTTTGAGTGTGCGAAGCACACCCTTTGGGGTGCGGAGCACCCCGGGTGCGAAGCACCTCAAGGGCCTTTTAACTAGTGATTCGCGCCATTTCTGTTGTCGGTTATGAATTATTCATCGTATAATGAATAAAACACATACTCATATATATTTATAAAGCACTCGATGTTGTCAAATGAAATTCTTCGTAGAGCCATTTGTTGATTAGTCTAAATATAATTCGCCTCCCTCATATATCTGTTCTTAGTTGCATACTTTTCTACTACCCGATCAATGAATTCAGTATAAAACGTCTGTTCTTGAAACAAACATTGGTTGATTAGCTGCGCTTGCACTCAGCTGTTTCGGAGCCTAGGCAGCGTGACGAAGATAATCTGTGCACAGCGGTAATGCATGAAATATGACACTTTTTCCGAATCCTGTGGGCAGATTCACAAAAACATCACAACCTTACAAGGCATATTTGAATGCTTTTACTCGCTTTTACTTGTGGATTCTTAAATCTTTCGATTTTCAAGAAAGTTGAGGTATACTTGATACCTTCTGAGACTGAGACGGCGGACGCCATTTTCGGATTTGTGAATCGTGCATATCATTAACGAAGGACTTATGAATATTAAAATTGATGTCATGTGATCGGGTTATAACGCTCTCATTGGCTTGAATATCACCGAAAAAAAATTTCTGTGAAAATAGGGTTTACCTAGTAACTTATTACTTGAAAAAAAAATGACAGCAGAAATGGCGCGAATCATTAGTTAAGAGGCCCCTTCAGAGCCTGCGGCTGCTCCGCACCCCGAAGGGTGTGCTTCGCACACCCAAATCCGAAGTGGGCCACGTCAAGAGGCTACAGTATAGTCTGTAAATAGAGGTCCACTGTTGCAGGTTTGGAAAGAAGAGGTGTACATTGCCAGGCCTAATGGCTAACGTCCATGGTGACATGGTGACGGTCTGTAAATGGGCAGGTCCAAGATAATGTCCTCTCAAACACCAAATTTTTATTTTGAAAGGAAAGGAATGTGATACACATCATCAAATAGCATGAGTTGAAGTTTCTGAATCAAAAAAAATTGTAAATATGCAAATTTATTCGGGCCCAAATTGCATGAAATGAAATTCAGGCATTACGTATGGGACAATTTAAAAAAATCATATAAAATAAGTGAATGAAAGTTAGAAACTGACACTCACATAACAGATTCCTTTTATCCCCCAATTAATTTGGCAAATAAAAAAAATCATGACCATGTCTATTTTTCAATGAGGCTGCGTCCTCTCCCGATTTGTCCCATACATAACATTATGATGTCAAGTTTTTTAGTTTTCTCAAAAAGTTCATTATCTATTCTAACCAAACTTAGAAAAGTTCTAATTTATCACAAATGTGACAAGAATGCATCATTATAATTTTCATAAATCGTTCCACTTTGATTTGAGAGGTACTCCAAAAAAGTGTTACGTATGGGAAATTTGTGTACAAAGTCGATGGCCATATAGCTAAGAATACAAAATTTAAACCTTGTTATTGGGAAATTTTACAGCTGCACTTCAATCTGATCATAATCTACTGTCTTAAAAATACCTTTGGATGATAATATCATTATATTATTAGTTATTTAACATACGGTTATTTACAAAAAAATATATTTTTTACAAATGTTATGATTCTTCCGAAATTACGAATTATAGTGTGCTATAATACTTGCAATTAATTTTTATTTGATCTCTTTTTGTGGTAATTTTTTTTTACAAGATATTTATAGAAAAATAGAAATAAACAAACAAAATTGAATTTGAAAAATAATATTCCAAAAATATCACATATCAACAGTAATTTCTGGGCAATGTGTGTACAAAGTCAATGGCAGAAAAAAAAAAATATACAGCAGCAGATGAAAAAAGGTGGGATTTCATTTTCTTTCTGCCTGGATAAGCTCTGTATGTTAATTATCACCAAATGGTACCAAAAACCTGATATAAGTGTGAAGGCAACCTTACATTTTCACAGAAAATTGATTTTTTTTTTTTCCAGATTTTCCTATTGAAAATGCATGCGTCCAAAAGTGTCCCATACGAAACATCCCATACGTAACATAACTTTTGTGAGATTAATCAATCACTATGAAGAAACTATTCAATGGAATTGGCTGAAACTTCAGATTTAAAATATTGAGTACATGTAGTTTACCTTTATGCACAGTAAGTTTCAGAATGATAACTAAAATACTTTCACAGAGATTTAAGCTCAAACTTTTATTTTAAAAAATCTCATTTTCTCTGCGTCCCATACGTAACACACCTAAATTTCCACCTAACTCACTAACCAAAAGACCGAGAGTCGCGAAACTTTGCACAAATGTTCTCCCCATAGGTACAATGATAGACATGATTGTCTCTTAAATCACAATTTGTTCTCATTGTCTTTTTATAGTCCGAAATCTCTGAAATGTTACATACCTAATGTGCGGATTAGCTTGGACCTGCCCAAATACAGAGGTCCATTGTTGCAGGTTTGTATTAAAGGGATCCGGTAACTTTGTCTCAGATTCTGAAACAAAATCCGGGATTAGCTCATGCTGCTATGATAATTATAAACCTTTATGTCAGTCAGGAACTCCATGACTTTTACAAGCCGATCGCCTGTCTGATTATCAAGATATTTATGATTGAAATTACAAATTTTCAAAACCGTTCGCCGGACGGTTTTCATAACACTACAGTCTATTGGGGGAAACGAGTATGGTAAAACCGGTCACTCACAGATTTTTACTTTTTTGAGGCACTTCTTGATCATTTTGAAGCGCGATTTTTTTAGGGCTTCAATATTACACCATATCACAGACACTGATAACACGTAGGGCCGTGTATCTCAGATTTATCATTGTTAAAGGATCCCTTTAAAGGGGAAGTCTAGACGATTTCCAATAAAATCTATTTTATGGCTTGAAAATTAAGGAGCATTTTGATACCACTTTCATCCACGGGCGTTACTTTTGTGATTTTTAAGCTCCAATTTTGTGATGGTAATTATTTCTAAAATAGTTCTCGCATTGCCGAAGTGCGATGGCCGTGTGACGTCATTGTGGCACTATAACTGCGCATGTGCGAACTTTCTCCATTGACTGGATGCAAGATATCGATGTGTCAAGTGTATAGCTGCACAAATTTTATCAGTTCTTGGGGAAAATGACCACTTTTCCAATTCTGAAGCCCTTGACACATAGGGCGATATATGCTCAATAGATTCTAGATATTTGAGCTGACAATTTTGATGTAAAAATGTAGAAATATTGGTGTTTGAACCTCAAGCCGTGGGATTTCTGACTGCTTGCTCAACAAAAGTGCGACACTGACGTCATGCGGACAGTGTAGCGAAATGCATTTCGGGTAAAACTGGCTCGTGTTAGCACTTTTGCTTATATCGCTTTTCCAGTGATTACTCGGTTATTCATGGGTCTACAGAGTCAAGTAAGACATTTTCTGAAAGCTTGATTTTTGCTCTATTTCAATTTTAAATTAAATTATCGCATAGACTTCCCCTTTAAAGAAGAGGTGTGTATTGCCAGCCCTAATGTCCACGGCGAAATAGCATATAAATACAGGAGTCCTCTGTTGTAGGTTCGTAAAGAAGGGGTGTGTATTGCATCATCGGAATCGTCATCACCATCATCATCACCACCATCACCATAATCATCGTAAACGTCGACCACCATCACCATCATCATCAAAATCGTCATCACCATCACCAAGAAACCCTTGTCAGTAAACATAGCAGTGGCTTTCTGCTAAAAAGTGTCCTTGGAATTATGTCCACTTACGCGAATTGTCCACGTAGGAATGAAATAATACATGTAAGTCAATGTTTTTTGATGGTTCGTTAAGTTGAGGATGCTGATTCCAAATCTAAATGATGCCACTCAAAAAACCAACATTTTTTGCAAATTGACAAAATCCTAGATAGCCGCCAAAATATGCAAATTAGCCATACAAATCACAAAATTACACACACACTGATCATAAAATGCCTGTAATTGTGATGGATGAATGAAACTGTCTGAAAACATGATTTTTTTAGCTAAACCTTGAATTTCTTATACGATAGAATGCTGCATTTTGAAATTCAAAATGCCAACATAAGCCCCTAACTAATATACTAATTTACTATATAATATGAAAGAACTAGCACTGTCTGACCACAAAGTGCATGTAATTATGATGTACACGTGTGAGTGAATTAGTGTCTGAAAACAAGATTTTTTTTTAAAGATTGTATCATTAATGTCATTTGCAGTAATTTTTTTAAATTCAGAATGGCTGCAATAGACCCCCCCCCCAAAAAAAAAAAAACTATGTACAATATAAATGTAGAAAAAAATATTTTCACAAGAGAGCACAATGGGACCATAAAATGCATGTACATTGTACATGTCAACAATGCTGTAAATTACATGTGCAGATGTTCCTTAAAGTTTATGTGCATAATGTGCACCACACAAAGATGACATTCAAATTTATCAGACCTTTGAATAATGAAGGGACCAAAATATCTCCTGTTACAGCATTTTAGCTTTTTTGAAAACTATTTATAAGTTGATAACAAAATCCCTGAAAAAAATAAATGATGTAAAATTTCAGAATATTAGCAAGCACTTTCAAGAAATTTTAGAGTTCGCTAGTTGACCAGAGGGAGAGCCTTGGGACCAAAGAATAGAATTGAACTTCGGTTTGCCTACCTGTACTTTACACCACAGTGTTTAAAGTGAAAAACATACGAGTCTTCACTGGTCATCTCCTCATCATCAGAAACTAAAGACCGCTCGCCTCTATATTCAAGGAGAAAGCTCCCCTTCTCGAAAGTCATTGATGTAAAAAGACCATATCCTGGAAAATACAAATGTTTGTGATTTTGAAGGTTAAAGGAAAAATCAGAAATCATAATTGTACCGCAACTCAAAAAGTATTTTATCAATTTTTTTGTCTTTCAACAAAATGACGTACAAATTTACTAAAGGTACGTGAGGGGTCACTGTTGCCAAACAGCTGGTGTTTTGCTACAAAATCATGCAGTAACATTAGATGCTAGAAAAAGTATTACTCTTTTGCCAGCACGTGCCTTGTACCATTAACCAGTTTTTTTTTTCTTTTTCTGATCATTAAAACACATTTTTTGTTGTGTCTTCACTTTAGCCAAAATGAAACACTGACCAAACCAAAAGACACGAACCAATTAGAGCTTATCATTTCCATCCAGTCAAACTTAACCAAATCCAATGCTGATGGAATCCATTCACAGTTCTGCACTGTTATCAGGTGATTATTACCAAAGATGAGAATCCTACTTTGTGTATACTGATCCATGGTCCCCGCAAGAAAGGAAAGCTGTGACTGTGAGAGACAATTCTGGTTCTCGGCCAAAAGAATCAGATGGCAGATCTTTTGGTCTGGAAACTGTCCTGAGGAGCCCGATGGGAAAGGTACATTGAATAAAACTTTTCAAAGTTTATTCAAAGTCAATGATATAGGCAGCAATTATCAGAAAATTTAGTGATCCACACCCATAATAAAGACAAATAGCCCTCACCCACTAAAAGATACAAATTCCCCAAAATGTCCTGATCCACTGTCTCCCTTTTGAAACACAGACTTTACTAGAAGCAGATAGAACTGTAACTGTATCTGTAACATACGTAATAATACTACACACACTTGTAAAAATTATTCCATATTTCATTCTAAATTTACAGTTCTTGGCAGCACTTATTTAAACTCAAAGAAAGGTTATTCTTACCGATCACATCATTTATATATTGTTTTTGAAATCCACTCTTGTCCTTCCCCAGGCTACAGAAATGCTCTGCTTCGGCTGCCGGAGAAAATCTTTTTCTCCTGGAAGACATACTGTTCAAAACAAAACAGATGTGATGTAACAGTTATTTAATGTGACATTTAATGCGACGCTTACTCATTGATATCCAATGAATACAGAATAGACTAACTTGATCCAAATTAATTTGGAAGTCAAAATCTGCAAACTGATAATAGGCCTACATACTGTTCATCTTTCAATAATACATGTAGACTTACATGTAGAGCAAAAGGAGACCTTGGCCATGTATCCTATTCAAATGCTCCCAGAGTCCCTTTTTAACTGGACACCTTGACCTAGCCCGAGGTCCTAACTTTAGTTGTTACAGTTATTGTTAATTACTTTTACTATTATCTAAGGCTAGGCATTTGTGGAGTGCCTTTGGTAGATCTAGAGGTCAAGTCATGATAGTGTGGCATCGAGTTATGAGATCACTACATCCATGATGTCCTTTGACCTAGTTAATATTTTTGTTGAGCAATTTAGCAATTTTAGTCTAGCCTCTAGGATCTTGCCGTTTGAAGTTATATCTATGACGTCATATGTAAACAACAGTCCAATGAACAGCGTGAAATGAGCATTTCATCATCGCAATGATTTTTATCTGCCATATCTACAGAGAGGAGTTGGCGCTCTATTATCATTATTATCAAAATTATTATATTATAGCCTCATGGTATAGAAATCGTTTAGGATATAGAGCTATGATGCTATCGGTATCGGATGCACAATTTGCAACTGTCAGCAGGCAGCGGAGATGTGGCAAGCTAGCCAGAGATTCCCCAGTTGTGCCAGGCATCTTGATCGTACTGGCACCCCTCCCCTGTGGTCGGCCGGCCGGCTAGCTGTGTTTGTGTGCTGGCCGATATTTTCACGCGGACATGAATTGTAATCAAAATGGCAGCCCCCCAAGGAAAAATTGTGAGAGGAAAATGCTGCACTTCTGTTTAATGTATTTAAAGATGAGGAACTAGATATTTTCATTGGGGATGTTAACAGCGAGAACACAAAAAATTAGGTAAACTTTGGACTGAATATCTTTAAACTGGTGATTGAAACAGCATCAGTCTTTGCATAGTACATTTTAAAAAAAGATGGAAAAAGAATTGTATTTGTGGTGGAAGGGGAGAGCGGAGGGGGATAAGATATAAATCAACTTTATCATGGAGTAGTAGAGTAAAGTGGAAATTATGGATTCCGCGTTGGCAGGATATAGCACTATTTACTGAGGGGCATTTAGTAGGATGTTTACTATTAGAAGTGGGCTACAGGGGAATAAGTATTTTTCAGAAACAGATGGGACATATCTCAGCTTGTTGATGCAGCTTGATCTCCTGATCGATATGACACCAAATTGGAAGAATATCCAGACAGTGCCGCCCAAAAATCAAATTTAAGGAGGCGTGGCCAAAAATGCTGAGTCCTCATTTTTCAAAAATGTGAACAAAAATTGTATCTTCTATTCTCTTTTTTGAAGGGCAATTGGCATTTTAATGGCTTATTATGTTTTCAATTGTGACAAATCCAATTACACTGTCTAAATACCTTTAATAATAAACCCCTAATATATTGTCCTAAAAACAAGATTTGAGTTGAAACACAGTAGAGCCAGAGGAGAGGCATTATGCCCCCCCCCCCACGTTGTTTTGCATAAGTCCGACACACATAATTTTTTCAACAATGTATCTATGGACTGCTTCGTTTGATGTCTATGGCAATTTATGAGACCAAAATCAACATGCCCCCTCCAATTATATTTAAGACTTAACCCTTCAAAAAATGTTGTCGACCTGAAAACTAAATGCGAATTCAATTAAGAGGTAATAGAAATTGAATTTGAGGAGAATTTTCATAAATAAATGTATTTAGTTTATTTTAGCTTTCAGTGGCGGAGCTCAGTTCATTTTAGGATAATTATGGCTGAAAAGTGTTCAGCAGCAAAATTTCCCCCTAAAACACACAAAACATTTTAATTTGCATTGACTTTGTTGATGATGTCATTGCTCCATATTTTCCAATAGAGTCTGTTGAAAAAATTATACATTTTATCAAAATCTGTGTACGACCAGGATTAGGATACAAGTATGTTTTGCCCACCACTGTAATTTTAAACTATTCAAGCATGAATGGTCTCACACAATACTTTATTTAGGCATAAAAGTGCAACTTTAACTTAACCATTTGTGTGTACAGAGTCAATGGGAAATTGTGAGGCAGTGATATCGGGTACTCCCGACGAGTCCGACAGCCCACGAGTCCGACAACCCACGAGGCCGACATTTTTAATAATTGGTGAACGAGATAGACATTAAATAAAAACGGACTTGAGTCCGACAGCTCATTTATCCGACAAAATTATAAAAATGCCTATGAGCACGACCAAACATAAATTTTACAAACGAGACCGACTCTAGGTAAAATTGGTCTATTAGTCCGACAGTTTGCTTTTTAGCCGATTAGATCGACAGTAGTTCAAATTGTATTTTAGTCCGATAATTTATAAATTTTGCGCATTACTCCGACAATTGAATAGTGCCATCTATTGTTGGCGGACTAGATTCCTATTTTCTGAACTGTCTGACTAGCAATATATTTTACCAATTTGTCGGTCTATTGCACTAAAATACGTTAGTCGGTCTCGTAGGCCCTTTTTGCGTAGTGTCGGTCTCAAAGTAAATAATTTGTCAGTGTCGATCTAGCGAGCCTAAAAGTCAAAATGTCTAGCTAGAACCTCTTTTTGAAAAATGTCGATGTAGTAGGCTTATATTCATTTCTGTCGGATTCGTGAGCTGTCGGACTCGTAGGCTGTCGGACTCATGGGATGCTCCCATGATATCAACTTGCTTCATGCACGTTTAGCCACTTGACTTATGAAACTATTCAAGAACTGTTATAACTTATGTAAGGTAACTTTGAATTGGTATGAATTCCTTATATTTTGTCCGAATTGAAAGAATTCAGTCAAGCATAATCTTATTTTTGTTGGCATTATTCAAGCTGAAATCAATCAATGGTAAAACTGTCAAAGTCAAAAGTTATGCAAAGCCATTTCTGACTTTCATTCATTTGCGTAGTCATCCATGAGGAAAAGAAGGACATCTTGGTGTCATGAGACAATTATCTAATTAATGATGCCTTGGAATTTTCCCTAAAATTATCCACATCCAAGAAATCATTCAAGATAAATCTTGGTTACCTTTTTCTGACACGCACTACATGACTGTATTTAAAAGCAACTTGTATTTTTTCTGTACCAAGACATTCAATTTAACACAGGTCTCATCATATTCAGAATTATACTTGCTTGCCTGTGTGTTTTGCTCTTAATACTCATACATTCAATTAAAAGTTCAAAGCACACATGTACACTTAAGTATTTCATTTTTGGGACAGCAAACCTTGAATTTGTTTATTTTTGGAACATCGATCCTTATTTCATTTTCAGAACATTGAACCTTTATTTTTGGAACAACGAACCTTCAAAACACTGAACTTTTGGTACAATGAGCTTTAACCAGGAGTTAACTCAATTTTTTATTTGGAACTCTAACAAAAACATAAAATGTGCATTCAAAAAGTGTTGTAAAAATATCAGGAATTGCCTATTGCAAATTGGGTTAAAATGAAACATTTAATAGCCTCTGTGAATAGTCTGTATACCAGAAAGCACTAGAATTGCAAATCCTATTTCTGTGGAAAAGAGTCTAATTCATAATGGCTTCAACTTCAAGGCATTGGTTAACAATGTATTCAGTAAAAACAAAAATGAGCTGCATGATGTATGCTACGTGAAGTACCAGGAAATTACATATCCTCAAAAAATGTTGGAAATATTATCATTTAGTGCTAAAAAAAATGAAAAACCTGAACTTATCACCCAAAGACTACTGTGCAGGAATTAAATATTGTCTTCACTCTTAGCGAAGTGTTCTGTATTAAAGTGTAACAGCTAGTGTAAGGATCTTATACTAGACAAATTTTGTCTTATCTTGGCAATTGGTATTCTGAAGAAAGTTCAAAAGTCACAGATTCAAGTCACAAATTTATGGTCTCTTACTTAGAAATTAGTTTCATTCTATAGCTAGTTTACTGTACCTTTAGGCTTCACAATTGCAATAAAATCTCCACAACAACTGCCACGAGTTCCTCGTACGAAATGCTACTGTCCTTGTAAAGATCTATAAAGTATAAAAGAATCTGCACTTTCTCCTCTGTAGCCACATTTAAGTCATCTGCTGCCATTTGTACAGTCTATACGAGAAAAAAATTGCATATATACCATTGTCATATTTTTAAAATAAATGAATACCGCCACACGCGTGTGGCTTTAATTAAAAACACACGTGTATGTCGGTATCCAACCCACGTAGGGCTAGATACAGCCAATTAAACGCTGCTCTTACCTCTATCGATTTTGTACTTGGGCATGAGAAATGCATAATTTTCATGTGGTGTTCGCTGCGCCGGTAGCACTTACTATACATAATTCTATGGTACTGTACTATACTACTAGCCGGGGCGCGGTATACGCACGCCTGCACAATGCCAGTAGTAGTGCCTCTGTGGTGTATTACTACTGGCAGTGTGCGCGCGTACGTATACCACCTTCCGGCACCACCGGTACCACATGAAAACACTTCATTCATTTATGCACAAAGTCCAATTTGATACAGTTAAGAGCAGTGTGTGGCTGTATCGAGCCCTACGTGGGTTGGATATTGCCACACGCTTGTGTCTTTAATTACAGCCACACATGTGTGGCGGTATGCACTGCCATGAAGTTAAAATTCATGCTTGGTCGCATGTCACAAGTTCATCCAAATTCGATTTCAGGGTGAAAAATGCCAAAAAAATGATTTTTTTTTTTTTAAATATGTTGTCCCAATTATTATTCCCCAACAAATGACACCATATTTGATGCAAACTTTTTAATTTAGCTGTTAATTGCCAATTAATCACTAATTATTACACTATGGGGATCAACACTTCATATGCCTTATTCTCGAAACGGACCTGAATCAGAGATGCCACAAATGGAAGATAAAATTTCCTGAAATAGCCAGAATTTTTTTTTGAAAGTGACCTTTTACCTATACTTTTGTACACAAGCATCTCACACAAATTTCCTGAAATCAGGAAATTTCCTGAAAAGTGGCACAACTGCTGAATCAAGAAAGTGGCTCTAATTTCTTTTTTATAAAGAAACCTGTTTAAATTTTCAGGATATATTCTTCAAATATTAGTGAATAAAATAAATTACATAAGTAATTGACATTGATGAGGTTAAAAATGAATTGTTGTGACATAGTGTATCAAAGTGACTTGTATGGGATCAATCACAAGTTCAGGCTTCAAAGAATATGCCTTGACACTGTTTTCTTGCTTAGGCCCCCCCCCAAAAAAAATTGTTGTATTGGCGTAACGGGCCCCTGAAAAATAGGGTCGGTCGGTCGGTCGGGATTTATTTATTTATTTGTTTATTTATTTATTTTTGTGTGCGTTCGTAACCTGCACACACACCACTATTCATGCAGGCGCTATTACATACAACCATACGTTTACATGGATACATTCAAACACATGCAGAACCTAGTGAAAGTTTATTTTGTGGAAAAATTGAACATTCAAAAGCGCAATATGCGCAGCCGAAACACTTTCCGGTTTTTTTTTGATAGCGATCGCTATCAGTATCACTATCGAAAAAAAGATATCGATAGCAAAAAAAAAAAAAAAAAGGTAGGGTCGGCTCCTTTTTTTAGGGTCGGGCGAGTTACGCCAAGGCACATGATGCAACAATCTTAGGCATATTGTCCATGTGATGTTATTAAGAAAATAAAATAGAAGATAATTAGACCCTACCATGTATTCTTGGTGGCGATAGGTGCGTACCTTTAAAAGACAATCAAACACTACAACAGCGCTCGAGAGGTCTTTGACTAGGCTAGATCTAAGTCTTTAGGATTTGTTCTAAAGAAATTTTCTTCATGATTTTTTTCTTCTTCTCTTTTATTTTTAAGTAATCTCAAGAATTTTCTGCATCTAGTGTTACCAAGCACTGTGATTAAAATTATATTTTATAACATTTTATATTCAACAAGAAAAAAGGTGTGTACCCTGGCCTTGGAGTACTCCAGCCAGCATACAAAGTCTAACTTATGACTTATGTAGGCCTACCGCGGCCGCATCCGCCCCTGACAGACAGTCTCAAGTTCTTGCAGTTGCAATACATTAAACGGATTGTGCGACTTACATCGAATTTGTAATGAAGCTGAATTCTCTCAGCTCCAAAACGCACACAAGTTAAGCCCAAAATGTTGGGCTAGATGAATATCCTGTATTTGAAAAGAAAAATGATTAGAAACGTACCTGAAATTGAAGATTTCTCACACCTCTTGCGAACTTGCGCGCCGTACTTGGTGCGGCTACATTGTCACGATCACGTTGGTATTTTGGTTGCGCGTGCACGGTATACGAGTTTTGGCGCTCGATATCGATCTAGATCTCTACACGTCACTCACTGCCGAAAGGGGGCGTTATTCATTTATGCGCGACGATTCCTGGAGAATTTTGTCACACGAACTGTGTATTCGTACACTCCTGATACTATTTATTACCTCTAACGTGGACTTCGTCAAATTTTCCAGATATTAAGAGAGCGCCCTCATTGGGCCACGTAAATGACGAAGATAATAGGCGTTCTAATCGTGGACGTCCACGATTCCTGTGTGTCCACGGTTTGAAGGTGTGTATTCTGGTGAAAGTCCACGATCGAAGGCATTTACACACGCATTCCCACACACACACACATACACCTCCGGTTCAAAGGCACAAGGAGAAAATCAATCATTTGCATTTGGCCGACAGCATGCGAAGTTGGCCAGATATATTTTTATCCTCCTCCGTTGTGTGGGGATTACCCCCCCCCCCACCCCTCCCCCTCTTTGATATTTATGTGGTGTTATTTGGAAAGCTGTTAAACCAAGCAGAAAGTGAATCTCATTGTAGAATATAACGGCCTGGTATAGAATGAAAGAAAATCCATAATATATAAAGCGCTTTTAGAGGGCTTGCGGTCCTGAAAAGCACGATACTGTATAAGAACGAATTATTATTGTTGTTAATATGGGAGCCCGGCCTCCTTAAAACAAATAATATGAAAACTGTTGCTGTATTGAAAACTTAGAATAGTATAAAATATTATCTTTCGAGCACACGACTCGAAAAGAGATGGCGCCCTTCTAGATTTGTTTTTGCCTCGATGATATCACTTAACGGCATCTGTACAGGAATAATGTAATACTGCACACGCATGTAGAATAAAAGAAGCAATCTACTGAATGCACGCCTTAAAATCATCAATAACTATCTATATGAAAAAATTACATCGATCCTGGTTGTTAAGTACGCTTGTATTTGAGTCATCTTGAATAATGTATAAATAAATACAAGGTCATATATAGTCACCCTAGAGGGAATTCAAAATATAACGAATAAAATTGAAGAAAATGGCAATAACGTAGGGTTAAGTCGATTGGTATTCCTTTTTTCGAGATATTATCCACTGGTTTTTTATAGAAAGGAATGAGGCAATATATTCATTATAATGCTATATGTCCAGGCTCCGTCCACTTACATGATAATATAGATTGAGTACACATCTTACCACTTAACAGGAGATATTCCCCGCTCCTTCCTTTCAATTTTTTTCTTCTTCTGAATTTGCTCTTATTTGTTGTGCTTTTTTTTTTCTTCTCTCTCTCTCCGTCTCTTTACCTCTGACTCTGATCGGTCGCCTTTCGGAGAGATTTATTAATATCCGGGAGCGAGAGAGGAAAGCAAGATGAATGTCTTAGTTCGGCCTTTTCCAGCCACCGTGTCTTTCTTTGCTTCTCGCGACAAAGCAATAAGATGCGGAATATCTCCGAGAATAAGTAATAGCCTGAGAATGATTGTGTGACAGTGATCAAGACATATGGAGGAAATACACTTGCTTTCAAGGTTCCAAGTAATTCTTCACCCTGTCCATGCATGGCCTTACATCTTGTAATTCATAATATTTCATCTCTGAATTCATTCCACACTGTACTTCTTATTGGATTTTCTTCGCTTTTTGGTTTCGTCCTCTTGTTGTTTGTTAGTCCATTCGATTGTTTGTTTGTTTGTTTGTTGTTGTTTTTTTTGTCTGTCTGTCTGGGGTTATTTTCTTTTTGTCCTACTATGTTTGTTTGTTTGTTTCTTCAAGAGTATGAGTGAGATACAGTTAGCCTATACCATGGAATAGTATTTTTTGTAAACTGTTTCAAAAAGATACAATTTGATATAGCAGTAAAAAGGAATACAATCGAACACATTGTAGACAGTTTTATTAATAGTGTAAAGGCGTGTCAACTTGATGTGGTGTCTTTAATGGGGTGTCTCAAATCAGATTTTACAAACAAATGTTAGGAGCTAGTAGATATTCTAGGCCTATGCATGAGACTGAACACGCTTTTCTTTGATGTTGAGTTTCCAATGTATAATATATTTCCTTATAAGTTATTATGCTAATACATGGTATCAGAATACATGTATATTTATTGAAAAAAATATCTATATCTATATCTATATCTATAAATAGATAACAGCAATTCATCACGTAGTTTACTAATACGGTTTGCGTCTCTCTTCCAAATGATTTCATTTTCGTTGACAAATGTTTTCTCATTACTTTGATTTAGCCTTTAAGTGTAATAGAACCGAGGAAGATCAATATCCCAAAACAGCAAAGTCATCCTCTTCCTTTACCTTGCATGGCCATGAATTTCAATTAATCTAGGAAAGTTCTGAAAAGTCTGTGTTCCGATGGGTCATATCACTAGCATAACTAGGATACATCAAATAAAGCAAATTTTCCTAAACAAGGTTATCTACCTTTGAAACGGGACATACGAGGAGAGCATTTCGGACCCCGGATCCAATTTATTGTTCAGTTTTGAGCCGCGGGTAACCTTTGGCAAGACATTAATCTGCATTTGTCACTCCGTGCTAAGAAAAATACTTAGTAATGCCAGATTTCAGAATCAGATTTGTCATAATTATGTCCTGAGCATACTGTCGCTGACCATATGGTTATTATAACAAATGACTCGATTTTTTTCAGAATCCTTACAAGTCGAAAATTAACCCTTACTGTGAACGTTTATTTAAGTTTTTTATACTAAAATGTTAACGCTCAACTTTATTATCCATTTCTGTATGTTTGCGGCTCTATGTAGGTTTACTACTTCATGACATCTACCAGTGTTGTATATAACCTCTATTAATAGATATCAGTAGGTTTAATTAATTAGCTATGACTTTATCCTTTGTTTGTCACTACCAGTCTCTTTTAAAGCTGCAAACATGACGATCGTGTGTACTCTCAGCAAGGGAGAGTGAATATATATGCCGTTTGTGATCCATCAAAATCAAAATGAAATACATTTTTAATTAATAACAGTTCGGTTAATCTGCTTATTTTTGTTAATATTGTTCAACAATTGCGGGAGATGATTATGTTAAGGACAAGTTAAGAAGAATTCTATTTTGTGTACAGTGTATTTTTAACTAAATTTTGTTTAACTGTGTCTAAATAAAATGAAAATGAAATTTTTGAAGATAAGTTAATTGCAACCACTGTGTAAACAAATTCAGAAGCAATAGTGTAAATTGAGAGGCGTTTCATTTCTGAGTTTTCTCGAAGATAGTATTTGAAATAACGCCTCTAGTTTACTCCGTTATCAAGGATTTTTGTTTAAACTTGATGTTTGATAAAAGTGAACATATTTTTTTCAGAGAAATATAAGTATATGTATTTTATAGACGTTAGTTCTTAATTTGCTTATCTGATATCGCAAGTAAAATAGATTGTACATTTCTGCCTAACATTTGTGAGACATATTTTCAATAAATATACAATTATCATGATTATAATACTTCGGATGGAAAATCTGTATTGGCCCAAGAATTACAAGTTCCACTTTTAATGATAATATTATCGGATGATATTGGAAATGTGTCTAATTTTGACCGACGGGGTGTGGAACATAAAACGATTCTGAACAAAATTGATGGAACGAAGAAAAACATCTTTAATCGTTGTTGGTCCTTACTAGCTTCATATCTAAGGAAGATAGAGGTACACAGTCGTGAAGCAAGTCGTAGCTAGTCGCTTATGATGTAAATCATAGTTTTTTTTATATTACGAATGATATATGGTTGGTCTGGGCCACAAAAAGCACGTCAACATTGAGTGTACTGATAAATTATGTTGAACATTAAATAACACGTATTCTACCCACTTGAATAGAGGCCATCTCAATGCCCTCCTCTTCAACATGACTGTATTAACGGCAGAGCTAGGGCGTGAGGTAATAGAGACGATGTCTTGCATATGGTAGATAGAACGCAATATGGCTGAAGACCTTGGGAGCACCCTTGACAATGGCCTAGATCTTGGAGTATTTAGAAATAGCGTCGGAACTATAGGTAGTGTTTCGTTCTAAGTACTTTATTTATAGGAAACTGAGAGCAGGCTTGGTATTGATTTTAGCCTGAGAATATGGAAGAAGTAAATGGAAAGGAATATATGTGATGTGTGATGCCGGAATATCTCGGTACGTGTTAGTTATGAATTATATTTTAAGTATCCTGTTTCTTTATGATGTTCAAGAATGTTAATTACATACATTTTCTATACTCTCTTTTTTTTCTGAAGTAACAACAGGTCTAAGAGTGAATACAGCATTGAGGAGCGGAATGGGGTTATGCAGAGAAAACGGATAGAGAGAGGGTGTAGAGAAAGGGAGAAAGAGGGGAGAGTAGAAAGAGAAATGGAGATGGGAAGAAAGAGAGTGGGGGAGATTACTATGAGGAGGATAAGAGGAACAGTGGGTATAACATGATAGAGAGAGAGAGAGAGAGAGAGAGAGAGAGAGAGTGAGAGAGGAAGAAAGAGAAGAGGTGGAGAAAGGAGAGAGGGTGATAAGGGAGAGAGCAGGATGAAGTAGCCAGCAAGTATAGATAATAATTTCATTTGGATTGAAATAAAATGGAAATGTTCCGTAGGTAAATTGGAGATAAATGCAAACAAAAATAAATTAAAAAAAAAACAGATTAAGGCCAATCAAGGTACATTGTAACATTTTTCAAGTAAGAAGTTTCGGAACGTTTACCTAACAACAAGGCATACGTTTTAAAAACAACGAAGCGAGAATGTATCTGTATTCATTCTAGTTCTAATGATTTCCTTCGTTGTTTTGAAAGCGACTTATCAATCTCAACAGGCCTGACAGAAACCGATTGAAGTACACAGATTATAAGGCACTTCTAGAATAAATTGTTTGAAATGAATCTCTGGCTCTGTATATTCCTATTTAGATAGGCGTTACGCGTTGATTTCTAATCAGTATAATGGAGGGGAAAGAAGAACTGGATGACTTGAGATGCAGCTTAATTGAAAGGAAGACAGATGAGATGGAACAGAAAGGGACCTCTTGGCGCTGGTATCGATCGGTGGTGAGGGGTTGAGAGAGGGACGGAGAAACAAACAAAAGTGTCGCCGGAGTGAAGAGAAAAATCGAAGGGTTGATTGGCTTGAAGAATTGGCCTACAAACATTGGAGAAGATTATAAGAAGGATGGCTAGAGGGTGTTACCGTG